TGAGCACTCTGGCGCTAGAGCGACGAGCTATCTTAATGTCTGTGGTGCCTCCTTTGCACCATGGCTGGTAGCTCGGCCTATTTAGCTCGTAGCTGTACTGATGAGGCCTTTATGGCCGAAACAGCTTGCTGTCTACAGCATTGGGAATAGCCCAATAGTAATGCATCTGGAGAAAACGATGGATTTTCCCATAAAACCCTATACTTTGTGGAATAGAGATTCAGCTCTCACAGTATGTGGCTACGTGTCTGTCTGATTCACCAAAAGCTTAATTGTTCACACAAGGTTTCTGACTCTCGATCCTCCTGTATATCTGTCTCTCTCTGTCTCTCTCTCTCTCTCTCTCTCTCTCTTTTTCGTTCTCTCTCTCTCTCTCTCTTTCTCTCTCTCTCTCTTCTCTCCCTCTCTGTTGGACTCTCTCCCTCCCTCCCCACTCTATCTTATCTCTGTGTGCAGCACATGTTAAAGTGAAGGATGCGCTTGTGGTGCTTAGCCTACACTCAACCAGTTGAGATGGGCTATGTCAATACCACGGGTGCCTAGCTGCAGGCAGACAGTCCATGCCTATTGCCATCATGGATCTGTAGTTGCTGGCTGGCATCACGGTATAACCCATGAGGTGTGTGCATAGCATTGGCAGGGTGCCGTCTCCATCGTCGAGTCATCCTGCACACACTTTGGCTTGAGTACCCCGTAAGGAGACCATAGGTCTGTGGGGACTGCCCTAGAGGAATATGAATAAATGCTATACTATACGATGCACACATTCGCCTGCGTTACTTGGAACATCCAGCAGGAAGGACCGGGCGAATCCAATCAGTTTCCAGCAATCAAATAACAATGCCCCTTGATCAGGCCTGGCCAACTACAACAGTGAATGCATGGTGGAATCCTGCTTCATCACTGGCTCGGGTGCTGGATAGTGTCACGAGACTCTAAAGGCCACTCTGGCTATTTGAGTGCTCCAACTGTATTGGCCACAAGGACCACACACAGGAGATCTGCACAGCATTTTGCAACTCACCAAGTGTTTTGTAGTCCCCTATGTTCTCTTGCTGTTGTTGTTGTTCTCTTCCATTCCATGTAGGCATGTGCACTTTCATAAAAAAATGTTTTAAGTCGAGTCCGTATTTGTTTGACCAAGCTTATTAATCTGTACTCTCTTGTACCATCATCCTTCAATGCGACGGACCCCACGATAGGCGGTCAGCCTTTGGGTCATCCTAATAAAGGTATATTATTATTATTCAATCCCTGGCTACGCTTTGGAACTGTTTTCGTTGCCTATGTCCACATCTCTCTTCGTTTTGTTTTCGCTGCCTAGGCTCTCATTTATCTTTGCTTGCTTGCTTGCTTGTATTGCTGAGGGAACATTATGCTGGCTTGTACTCGTGGGTCCCCATGGTGCATGGGCCACGCGTACTCATCCGGCGGATATGTGTGAATAATAATAATAAGCTGCTTAGACACAACCCGAGCCAGTCCGGTTGGTCAGGTCCTCACCGGATCAACGTGTTGGCCACGAACGCATGTTTACTGATGCGGGGGTTATGTGTACCCGTTACATTACACGGATACTGAGCTAAGAGATAATAAAAATTTTAAAATAGAATAAATCACACTATGTGCAGCAGAGATCGTCATAGCGATGGGACGCCCCGTTTGCTACCGACAGAGTGGTCGCTACTCCTGACACTGGCTTGGGCAGTGCGGCAGCCCTCGACCTCTGCAGATTCCCAGAGCTGGCTCTGTGCGCCGAAGACCACATTCAGATTCATTTCGAGACATGAAAATTATTAAAGGGGAAGTATACCCTAAAATCAAATTTTCACCAGTTGTAGTCTTCGGGGTGCTGAGTCGAATGGTCTTGGTCCGAGGAAGCTGAGACGCTCCCTTCCTACTTGAATCCCAATCGAACTCGCGCACTTCCACGGAAACTGGGTGACTGCGCCCTACTAGATGCGGATTTGTATGCAAAATGTCACTAAAAGCGCCATTTCGTTCTTATAAAAGCACGGATGACCGCGATTGGCCCATATGTTGTAGTCTTTTGGACGCTGAGTCGACTGGTTTTGATCCGAAAAGGCTGCGATGTAGCGTTCCTCCTTTATTCCCAATCGAACATGGTTGAACAAGCGGTCACGTGCTCCTGCGTACACCAGTCACCTGGTCACCGTGCCTGCAGGGTACAACTTACTAGCCTGTTTGACCTTTTTTGGGTGCACTCCTGTCACTCGAGTTGAACTCGAGTTGAACCTTGGTGTGAAATTTGTCGCCTGCTGGCGTGGTGACCAGGTGATTTGGGCACCCAGGAGCACGTGACCGCTTGTTCAACCATGTTCGATTGGGAATAAAGGAGGAACGCTGCATCGCAGCCTTTTCGGACCAAAACCAGTCGACTCAGCGTCCAAAAGACTACAACATATGGGCCAATCGCGGTCATCCGTGCTTTTATAAGAACGAAATGGCGCTTTTAGTGACATTTTGCATACAAATCCCCATCTAGTAGGGCGCAGTCACCCAGTTTCGGTGGAAGTGCGCGAGTTCGATTGGGATTCAAGTAGGAAGGGAGCTTCGCAGCTTCCTCGGACCAAGACCATTCGACTCAGCACCCAGAAGACTACAACTGGTGAAAATTTGATTTTAGGGTATACTTCCCCTTGATGATCGTCACTCACTCAGAATCAGATCCCCTGGCCCTGACCTGCGCTCTGACTCACTGTCACTCAGAGACCATGGAGATAGACCGCAGCCTGGCGCAGGGGACCAGCTGTTAGCGGAAGCTACATGTACATGACTGTAGTGTAGATCTAGTACACATCTACATGACAATCATGTACATGTACATGACTGTACAATGATTTTTGTAGGTAGTGGGTTGAAAGACAGTACAGTATTACTAGGACAGTAGGAGCCAGTACGGCAGTAGGGGCAGTAGGGCTTGGCTCCAGAGCTGGGTCAGCCGGGTCAGCGACCCGGTTGGCAATTGGGGGGTTCTTGGACCAGCTTAAGGCAAAAATTAAAATTTCACCAGTTGTAGTCTTCGGGGTGCTGAGTCGAATGGTCGTGGTCCGAGGAAGCTGAGACGCTCCCTTCCTACTTGAATCCCAATCGAACTCGCGCACTTCCACCGAAACTGGGTGACTGCGCCCTACTAGATGGGGATTTGTATGCAAAATGTCACTAAAAGCGCCATTTCGTTCTTATAAAAGCACGGATGACCGCGATTGGCCCATATGTTGTAGTCTTTGGGACGCTGAGTCGACTGGTTTTGGTCCGAAAAGGCTGCGATGCGGCGTTCCTCCTTTATTCCCAATCGAACATGGTTGAAGAAGCGGTCACGTGCTCCTGCGTACACCAGTCACCTGGTCACCGTGCCTGCAGGGTACAACTTACTAGCCTGTTTGACCTTTTTTGGGTGCAGTCCTGTCACTCGAGTTGAACCCGAGTTGAACCTTGGTGTGAAAGTTGTCACCTGCTGGCGTGGTGACCAGGTGATTTGGGCACCCAGGACCACGTGACCGCTTCTTCAACCATGTTCGATTGGGAATAAAGGAGGAACGCTGCATCGCAGCCTTTTCAGACCAAAACCAGTCGACTCAGCGTCCCAAAGACTACAACATATGGGCCAATCGCGGTCATCCGTGCTTTTATAAGAACGAAATGGCGCTTTTAGTGACATTTTGCATACAAATCCCCATCTAGTAGGGCGCAGTCACCCAGTTTCGGTGGAAGTGCGCGAGTTCGATTGGGATTCAAGTAGGAAGGGAGCGTCTCAGCTTCCTCGGACCAAGACCATTCGACTCAGCACCCCGAAGACTACAACTGGTGAAATTTTAATTTTTGCCTTAACTTCCCCTTTAAGCTTGAAAAAAGAACACCGGGTCACTCGTGGCCCGGTTGGGACTCAATCAGGAAGATCCAGCTATCCCTGATGACAGCAGTGGTGATGTACAGACTCCGTAGGGGTCAGGCTGCTCAGTACGACAGTAGGCGCACTGGAATGTACCGGAACTCACCTGGTTGCAAGAGTAGTGGGTACTGGTGCCAGGTACAAGACGTGTACCCGGTTGGTTTGAAATCCTATCCTGTACTGTAGAGCAGCACCTGAGTCTGTAGCCAGGGGCCAGGGCCTGAGTAGGCAGTCCGAGCGTTGGGTCATCCCGTTCTTCAACTGTCCCGTGACCTGTCGTCTGTACTGTTGTTGTCGACCTGGCACCAGTGTGACGTCAGCAAATCATAGTATAGTTCTCAGGCCCACATCATTGGGTCACGTATTAAATTTTCAATGATTATTTTGAAGTCTGAAGAAAACGTTGAACGGTCTCTGCTTGGATGACGACTACACCATAGCTCAGTGGTTAGAGCATCACTGGCTATAAGCGAGGGTCCCTGGTTCGAGTGCTGGTGGTGACAGTCAATTTTTTCTTCAGACTTTTCCCGTTTGTCTCTTTCCCTCAAACCAGTTAATATTTTATTATTTTTGCTAATTATTATTTCAGTTCCAGGCAGTCTCGATCGTCAAAATGAATTCAAATAAACATTAAAAAAAAAAAAAAAAAAAATAGAGTTGCGACTGTCGGACATAGCCAAGCCTCTTTCTTTCTCTCTACTCAGTCTACTGTCTGTCTGCTTGGTAGTCAAAATGATTATGACATGTACATGTACTAGTACTCAGTTTGACACTGCATTGTCGTCTCTTCTCCTACTAGTAATAGTAGTATACTGGCCTCTCTCAGGCTCTCTGTCTCGCAAGCACCCCGTAGATCTACCCCGTGGGCGCGGGCTGATATGAGTGATGTGTGCGTGTATGTGACACACATAACACACACACACAGATCGTCACACTCTGTTGTGTGTCGTATCGCTTGTCGACGACTCTGTTGATTTTGCGTTGCGCCACTGGCACTGGCACTGCGCTGCACTTGCACCATCTGCACTTGCGTGCGCTGCGAGTGTGAACCGCACTGAGCATCTGGGAATGCCCATTCAGCTGTCACCAGACAGAAGAGTTGCGTGTGCTAAATTTTTTGAACTTCTGATGGCAGGACGATGTTGTCAACACATTTTCAGCTGAATCTTCATGGTGGGTTCTTTGTCTTGAACTATCTGCCTGATGTAACTCTCAGCTGGATTATTAGTGATTCCTTCGATAACATAGCTAGCATCTTTTAGCTCGACTTGCAGCTTATGTGGTGGGCCGTGTTCCGCGGGGAAAATAGGTCTAGTTTTCCGGCCGGGTAGCAAAGTGATCCGGTAAAGCCCCGCATTCTGGCCATCGTCACAAAACCTTTTCAGCTTCATACTCATAGTTTTCCCTGTCAGCAGAGAGCAAGCACGTTTTGTGACTGGTGATAAGCCGCCTGCAGTTGCTGTTGTGCCACGGGAACGACACTCTATTTCCTAGCCAATCGGGGCTGCTAGGGTTGCTGAGGAAGGCCACTCGACTAGAAAATTTGTCCATCGCACAAATATTAAATTTGTAAATCAGCGATTTGTAGACTCGGGGACTCGCGGTGAATGCGGAGGCAAGCGATGGGTGACACTGGCAGCAGACAAGTAAATAGCCCGACTCTCCCGGCAGCAGTGAACATAAGTTGGCGAGGATTTGTTGGACGGTCTGCAGTTGCTTGCTTGCTGGCGTTAGTACTCGTGATGGCGAACTGCTCAGTTTGTGCGGACGCGCATACAGGCGTTGGTGGCCTCCACGCACCGTCGTTTCCGCAGGAGGTGCAGGACATGGAGTCCGTACCGCTGTCGACGTGGTGCCTGGCGCTGTGCGGTGCGCTGATCGTGGGCTCCACTGGCGTGCTGCCGCTGCTCTTCATCCCCAGCAACTCTGCGTTCAAGAACGGCCTGGCACCGCGCAAGCTCAACGTGCTGCTCAGCCTGGCAGTCGGTGGACTGCTGGGCGACGTCTTCCTTCACCTGCTACCAGAGACTCGCGCACAAATGCACGCGCTGAGTGCGTCAGGGGGAGCACACGACCACACCGTTGACACCAAGATCGGGTTGTTGGTGATTGCCGGAATGGTGGTGTTCCTGGTCGCTGAGAAAATCATGGTGGTGTACTCTGAGCAGGAGGACGACGGCGAGGATGCAAATCCGGACGGCAGCGAAGCACAATCACAGAGACCTGCTCATGTAGGTCTTGAGCCTGCGAACGGCACCAGCGATGCAGTTGCATTGCCGAGCGGCAGCGGTTCGCCAAGCTCGTTACATCGCCGTCCCGTTCACGGTATGACAAACGGCTCGACGGCGCCGGTGATGCGGCCTGCGGTCGAGGCAGCAACAAGGGTGATCCAGCCGGTGCCTGGCGAGCGCGAGCCAGAGAGCAAGATAACGCCAGCCGGATATCTGAATCTGTTTGCGAATATCGTCGACAACTTCACGCACGGCCTGGCAGTGTCGGCTAGCTTCCTGGCTGGGCACAAGGTTGGTATGCTGACGACGTTCGCCATCATCATCCACGAGGTGCCACACGAGGTGGGTGACTTTGCCATCCTGCTCAACTCCGGGTTTAGCCGCTGGTCGGCCGCCAAGGCTCAGGTGAGCACGGCCTCGGGTGCGCTAGTGGGCGCCACGTTCGGCCTGCTGCTTCGCAACGCCGGCGAATCAGTGCTCTGGGTGCTGCCTTTCACTGCCGGCGGCTTTCTGTACATTGCGTTGGTGTCGGTGATGCCGACGTTGCTCGCGGAGAGGAACGCCAAGCAGAGCGTGCTGCAGGTGCTGGCAATGGCTGCCGGCATACTGGCCATGCAGGTGATGGACCTCGGCGCTGCCCATTCATAGTTTAGGCTGAAGCATGGAGGTGCACGTGTGTGTGTGTGTGTGTGCGTGTGTGTGCGTGTGCGTGCGTGTGTGTGTGTGTGCGTGCGAGCACGTGCACACCTACGTGCTCCTGTTCTGTGTTTGTGAACGCGTGCTGTTCGATCCATCAGCCGTGTTTCCGTCTGGGAAGCGTTTGTATGGCGTCGGATGTCAGCACCACCTGTGGCCGAATACAAAATTTGATAAATACTTGGTCCTGACGTGGACTTACCTGAGCCTGTTGTTGTTCTAGGCCGCTCCTGTAGTGCGTAGCATGCTGGCAGTTCATCTGAGTTGCAAAGCTATCATTGGCTATCTTCCTGCGTTATGCCAAATTCCTCCTCCGTAGTAAGTAGTAGTAGTAGTAGTGGTAGTAGTGTGTTGACCCGTCTTACCAGCCTTGTAATGTCCGTATTTCTCTATACCAAACCGCTGCCAGATATTATATCATTATAGAATTATAATCAGTTCCGACGCCCAGAGTTAGTGCATGCTCTGTAATTTTTACCCGATCGATTCGAATCTCCTGGCGGGACACTAGACATGTATAATTATAATTATGTATATTTTTATTTGGATTTCTCTACAGGCTGCGTGCAAGGGCCGTATTACCTCCATGTTGCCGGTGCATGTATTCTGAGATTGAACAGAACAATTTTTAAAATGATGATCCGCGTCCGCGCATTTTCTTCATGTGCCATTTTTCAACAGGCTCTTATATCACTCGGATGGTGAGTTAATCGTAACTCGTACCTTTTTTCTCTTCTCTTATATTTAAATTTACTAAATAGTTTTCTTTCGCTGGTCATCTCCCCACTGGCCACATTCGCTGTGTTTGCTGCACTTGGAACCTGCGTTCTTCTCACTCTTTCCCTGGCACTAGTACAGGAAAGAGTTGGGCCTTCAGCCTTGCAAATACTGCCTGGACCTGAGTCACAATGTTCCGCTTCAGCCTTCCCAGTGCCTGGACGTAATCCGCTATCTTACACTGCACTTGCTCGACTTGTACCCTATTTTTTAATTCCTATATCGCCTCTAACCCTAGATTTGTTGATAACATCTGTTATCCTTTAACCTTTAGACATGGCTTTTCTACGTGATCCTCGTACGCCATTTCAAAGCTGACTGCTCAGGTCCTGAGAAAAATAAATTTCCTGTGCTCTCGATTCTCTATTTATTTTAATGCGGAGGGCATTCGCTGTCTGCTGCCGAACCTCTCTTTCTCGTTTGATGTGATATCATGTTTGCCTGGATGATGAGTTTGAGACGTGAGTGTTTCATTTGTGTGCAGGCTTGTGTGCGCGCGTGTGTGGGTGCGCGTGTGTGTGTATGTGCGTGTGTGTGTACAACCTTGCAAGTCGAAGTGTGTGTGTGGGGGGGGGGGGCATGTCGAGGCCACTCCTCAACCCCAACTCACAGTATGTGGGATCCATCACTGACACGGCATATTAGCTTCCTCCTGCCTTCACGTGACCCTGCAATCATGACAGCCACCCCGTCCTGCCAGCCCTTCCTCCGGACCCGTGAGTGTGAACGTAGTTACCCTAACGGAGATCCGCCTGACCCCGGCATCTGGTGTTGCAAATCACACATTGCCGACCTGTATTCATATTGTTGATAGGCATGTGGCCTCCAGATGTGCAGCTACAGGAAATCGTTCGTTCGTCCTAGGTCTGCCGTCAACTAACGTTACTTGGCTCCTTTCTGGGAAAGTCCGGTGTTACGGTTGTGGCTCTGTGCTTGTTGTGTGTATACGTGAGTTCACAAGGTCAGCATGTGACTTTATGTGATTTCCAGTGTTCAAAGTTTAAAAAACGTACCAGCCGTGCATAGAGCATGTGTGTGTGTGCGCGCATGTGTTATTTCACAAATTCCGTTGCACACTTTATGTTTCGGGGCATCTCTTTTAGATGTAAGATTTCTCGGGCACATCATTCAATACTCGACAATAGGCATTTTGCCTATGGAATGATTCCTGTTCACCTACTAGTAACCTACTGTACTCCTTTGCCCTCAGACTAGTACTAGTACTAGTAGTTAGAGCACTAACATACTCAGTATTACCAAAAGTAGATAAACTGTTTATCTATACTCTTGTCTACTCTTGGTATTACCAAGAGTCCATGACCCCCATGGGGGGGGGGGGGGGATATGGACTCTTGGTATCACCGGTACCTAGTACCCAGGGGCGTGCTCGGCCCCCAGCTAGGGGGGTGCACGGGAGCCGAGGGGAGCCCCCCCCCCCCCCCGGCAATTTTCTGCAATTTGTTTGCAACCTTTCTTGAATTTTAGAGCATATTTGCATACATTACAATTGCAATTACCCAGATTGAAAATTTTTGGGGGGTGCACGTGCCCCCCCCCCCCCCCCCCCCCGTGCCCATCGCCGAGCACGCGCCTGAGTACCTACATATACCTATTGAGCACTAATCAAGTCCTGAAAAGTTCCGGAATAAATGAATAATTTGTGGTCCCTAAAATAGTAATAATGGCCATATCCATCATTATGCATACACAGTCCGCACGTGTAATGGCGCCATGCGGGCTTCGCAGCTCGCGTGCCTACTAGAATATTCTATTCTCTCTATCGAGGTGGACCATAATCTTTGATCGATGGGCACTCGTCTCGAGTCGAGTGTTGCACAATCGTCCAGGCAGTAGATCTACTACTGGTACAGTACCCAAGACCAAGTCCTTGCTGGAGAAGTACAAAAATACTGAACTATTTGAGCTGCTTTCTTTGCTTCCTCCTCCAGGCCAGAGATTGTCTTCGTTGTAGTGTTTCTGCGAAGTAATTTTGTTGGTCATAGATTGTGTTGCACCCCAAGTGCAATCGGCATCATGGAGAACGTCCTCCCCAGTGAGTATGGCTACGTCCTGCTGAGTGGAGCCGTGGGCGGATTTCTGATGAACGTCTACCTGGGCACACGCGTGGGAAAGGCGAGAAAGCAGTACGATGTCAAGGTAATAATCACTCTATAATTATAACTGCCCCAGTACGAGTCGTAAACTGTTACAAGACTTATAGTAGTTTCGAACAAAATACTACATAGTAATTGGTGCAGTACATGATTGTATCATGAGCTGTTACATGTACGCACTCGCACGGGAACGGAACACAAGATCGATCATTTACAGGTACAGTGCATGTATACAACGTTGCGTACCTCATTGCTTCAAGCATGATTACAGTCAAGTGTTGTACGTGCATGATTGTCTGCATTGGGGAATTGATTGTTTACGAAGCTAATCAGAATACATGTCACGGTCCATGGGCATGGGCGTCACCGACTCACCGGGCAGTGGGGTGTGGTACGACCAGGTCGGGGGGGGGGGGGGGGTTGTCCAGATCGGAAATATCGGATTTTTGGCCAACATGGCTCGTTTTATAATAGCTATGAAAAGTATGAATGCCGCAGACATCACCACGCAACATGACAATTTGTTAAGGGTTGTAGATTGTGTGTTTCCAGAATCGATTTTCAAGCTCCGATCATCAGTGGAAATTCTGGAAACACACAATCTACAACCCTGAACAAATTGTCATGTTGCGTGGTGATGTCTGCGGCATTCATACTTTTCATAGCTATTATTAAACTTTTATCACCACGTAGATTCTTTGTATGGCTCGTTTTAGCGCTCTTTTATCTGCCCCCACAGAATAGCGCGAACAAAATCCTGAACTTCTGCTCGTAACTATGCGGGCGGCAAATATGCGGTATAATGCGGTCATTATGCACGAGTTGTGTGTCATTGGCACCCATTTAGCATACAGTTCCATGCAATTATTCAGCTTGGTCGTACAAACTCGTGGGCGGGTACGATGTTGTGGTACATTTTCAACATCATGTACTGTTTTCTTGTACATTCCCATGGATAATAGCAAGAGTCCATAAACAAGAGTATGCAACTGTGATCTCTTTTCTATGGGCCAGATGCACGGCGCGCTGCCTTCATTACATCATTCAGCTGCAGTCCGCGCACTGCGGAAAGTCAAACGCCACACTTTCCCTCTAGTTTAAAATGAACTTTCGTACGGAACTGGAATTCACGCGCCAGAATTCAGAGATTGTGTAGGTACTGGAACGAATCGAGCAGAAACGGATGGGCTCGTGCGAGAAATTGAGAGTTTGAATGCATGCTTTCAGAGCGTGATGAAGGCAAGTTACGTAATGAAGGCAGCGCGCCGCGCACTGACCCATAACCACAGTTGCATACTCTAGTTTATGCACTCTTGCTAATAGGCTATTCATACTACGTTACAATACGCGTCACATTTTGGAATACGACGTACTGGCAGACGTCGTTTTCATGCAGGTGCACACGCTTTTCGTACAGCTGTGCTCACAGCTTCTTTTCAACACAAACTGCCAGGAACGACAGAACGAACCTCGGTACAGGGTCTGGATACGTCATCTACGTTTTCGTATCAGGGGTTCGATTTTCCCGCCACGTTCCATGTTGTAATGGCTATCTGGACGAAAACGTCACGTACACCATGTTTTGGGCGTAGTGTGAATGGCCCATTACGCGGGTTTTATGCAAAATTTCTCGAAAACGCGGATGAAAGCCAATATCGTGGAAAATTTCGCGTCCCCACTTTGCCTTTTCCCCCGGCTGCCGCAGGGAAGATCCATGGTAAACACGAAATGTAGTGGTAACTCCAGGAAAATACCGTGGGTAACCTACGGAATTTCGGTCGGTGTGATGGTCAACACCAGAAAGAGTGTAGCAGCCGGTCCGCTGGTCTGGCTTTGACCAGACTACTTGTTTTCAGTCAATGACCTGTGTTTTCGTAGCGAAGAATAGTCTTGGAATACATGTACATGAATAGTGCGAAACATGATCAAGATTATACTTACGTACGGTGTCATGTACTTTGCTGTTCGAACCACCGTCACTTGTTTTTCACGTGTATGACACATTTTCTGTCTGCCTGTTTCTGTGTATGTGTGTGTGTGTGTGTGTGTGTGTGTGTGTGTGTTTGTGTGTGTGTGTGTGCGTGTGTGTGTGTTTCTCTCTCTCTCTCTATCTCTCTCTCTCTCTCTCTCTCTCTCTCTCTCTCTCTCTCTCTCTCTCTCTCTCTTTCTCTCTCTATCTCTCTATCTCTCTCTTCTATTGTTTTGTTTGTACTTAGTACCCAGTAATGTACTCACCGACCAATGATCAGTTCAACTGCGTTCAACGAGTGCACCAGAACTAGTAAGTACATGTGTATGGGTACAACTGCCAACGACTGTGTCCTGTATGTTGTATGGAATGGCAAGCTACAAGCTGCATGAAGTCAGTACTGGTGATATCATACTATGCAAAATAATAGTGCTGAAACGATCACATCGACTACTCGTTACTTACTCGATAAGAAATATATCGAACGGTTATTTTGATTTTATCGGCTAAATGAGTAGAATGTTACTTACGCTCGGTACGGGATTCCCCCCCCCCCCCTCCCCCTTTGGGGGTCGCACAAAGTGTGCATGCATCGAAAGTTTTGTGAGTACGACACGAAAATGTACATGACT